GTAAAATGTTTAAAAGCAGCAATAGAGACTAACTTATTTAGCTGATTTGATTCAATTTCACAATAGAGACTAACTTATTTAGCTGGAATATGGACTTAAAAATTATACCATGTAAGATTATAAATGGTATAGTCAACATAATTATTTTTTTATTTTAAGTTACCAATAGATTGAGAAGTATTTATTAATTAAATACATAAATATTTGATAATTTAAAAATTGAAATATATTATTTAATTATATCTAATATTTGGGACAGATTATAATTATTTTTAACAATTATTTTGATTGGTTTCAGAGGAAAAAATCATAATCAATTGCAATTAGTCTTTGATTTAAGTATGGGAGTAACTAAAGAAAACGACAAACATGAGGATGAAGTTGAGAATGAGGATAAGAAAGAGGAGGTCGAGGATGTTGATGGAAAAGAAGAAGAATCCAAAGAGAAAAAGAAGAAGAAGAAAGATAAGAATGACAAAGAGAAGGAAAATACAGAAGAGGGTGAAGAAGAGAAGAAAAAGAAAAACCCAGAAGATAAAAAGGATCCTATAAAACTAAAGCAAAAGCTTGAAAAATTGGAGTCCAAGATAAAAGCATTGGTGGCTAAGAAAGAAGAAATATTGAAGCTTCTTGAAGAGGCTGAACAAGGTGCAACAAATCAAAGTGAAATTACTGAAGGTGACCTCTAAGAATAACTATTGTTTATATTTAAGTGTATGGTTCTTTCTATGTATATATATATTTATTTATTACGATAACTGTGAGGACAATTTGTATTTAATTTTGTCAGTTTTACATTCTTGACTTGGATAATTTCTTGAATTGAAATTAAATAAGATACATAAAAATAAATTAACTATTTTTGTTATTGATGTTAACTTTATAGTAAGTATTAGTTCTAAAAAATTTTGAACTGCTGTGAAATATTTAACACAATTGGTGGAAAATTAATATAGAGAAAAAAATGTTATTTGAAAAATGTTAATCCCACCTATTTTTTAATTTTTATTTTTTGTCAAAATGTTAATTTCACTTAGTTAACCATTTTTTTACATTTCCTTATAGTAAATTTAATCGATCACCCCGTCGTTGCAGTGTAATTCAAAGTTATAGTTAGATATCAATTAACATAGTTCAAACTCTTTGTACATAAGTTAATGCGACACTTGGATATGTGTATAAATATGTGGGTATCAATTTACATTTCCTTATTATTCTTTAAGTGCAAAGCCTTTAGGTTGCTTAACATATATCTCCTCCTATAAATAACAATTGAGAAAAGTATATTTCGCATTCAGCTGAAACACCTTCCATCATTTTTGTGTTGCCAAAGCAATAACAAATTTGATTGTATCAAGCCGAGAAACTAGAAAAATTGTTTCAGAGAAATCAAATCCAAATAATTAAGTATATTCATTCACTACATATTTGGTCTTGTGCTTATTAGTGGAACTATCTGCATTGTGTTTGGTCCTAAATACCCATTTAACACCATTAACATTTTTGTGTTGGGGTCAAAGAACTGATACCTATGTCTGGTTCTTCTTAATCTTGTTAAGCTTTTCGTGCATTGCAATAATCCACTTTGGATATTTTTCTACTTCAAGAAAATTTGCATGTTCTAACACAATAACATTACACTTTTCATAAATATCATAAAGTAATTTGGTTCCTCTAACAAATGGATCATCAACATTTTCATCTTCATCTACTTTAAAAAAAAAATTAGGAACCTACTTTCATTCATCTTTCTCCTAGGTCCATTCTTTATCTTCAACAAAATGAACATCTCAGCTTATTAGAATCTTACTAGTTTGTGATTGGAAGATTCTACGAGCTTTCAAAGTTGTGCTATAGCTAATGAAAATTTGTGTTTTTCTTTTTTTATCCAACTTATCTCCTTTCACTTTTGGCATATAAGTAAAACAAATACATCCAAAAACTTTGAATTTTTGAATAAAAGGTTTACAGACATACCATGCTTCATAAGGAGTTTTTCTTTGCACTACTTTTGTAGGAAACTTGTTTAATAGAAACATTGTTGTATTTGTAACTTCAACCTATAAATTTTTTTGAGGTCTTTTCTAATGCATCATACATATATTCATCTCCATTATTGTTCTATTCTTCCTTTCACTCACTCTATTTTGCTACGGAGTGTAAGGAGTCATAAGTTGGTGCTCAATCTTAACCTATTCACAAAATGTATTAAATGCTCTGGGGTGTACTCTTTTTCATTATCAACCCTTAGAAAATAAATTTCACAATCAAATTGATTTTCAATTCAAGCCTGGAATCTCTATAACACTCATTCAACTTCAAACTTGAATTTCAAAAAATAAATCTAACACATTCTTGTAAAATTATCAATAAAGGAAATATAATATCTACTCTCTTTTAAAAATAATTCAAGTTGAGGTCGTCCAAGGTCTATGTGAATCAACTACATTTTCCGTGAAGCTCTTCAACTTGCTTGAGAAAGTGGCAACTCAATTTGCTTCCCATATTGACACATACCATAGCTACTTAAATTATTTTCTTACTTTCGAAAATTGGGTTGAAATCACAGTCAACTGGGGCCACAATGAGAAAAAATAAAAATGGTGAATAAAAAATAGCAAGAGGAAAACTAAGATTGAAGGAGTAGCCGCCCAAATTTTTTAAGAACTCTATACAACTTTGAAAATTGTCTATTTAAGAAGTCCAATTACACGTGGAGAAAGTATTAGCACATGACGACGCTTATAAAAACGATTATCCTAAATTGTGCAAAAGTTTCATTTCATTTCTAAATGTTGCTATTTTATTTATTTATTAAAATAGTGGGGAAAACATACTTTTAAAATAATTAAGCCTAACATGCTTTGATCCTTGCTTCTATGTATTCATAATGCAATGGGAAATCAAAACTACATAATTCTCAGTGAAATTTTTTTTTAGAAAGGTATAAAAATAAAAACTTTATTGAAAGATATATGAAAATGAAAGTAAAATCTTCGAGGTTATGTGAAACTTGATTATGTGTATAAATGTGTATGTATATAAGTTGTCAGGACATCATTGTGGAAAATAAAATTAATTTTCTTCTATTTGTGGATAGAAAAATTAGTTTCCTCTCTCATTTTTTTCTTGTGTGTGTGAGTGTGTGTTGGTTATATTCCCTAACACTCGTTTCAGAGCTTACCCACCGCCACACCACAAAATTATATTTCCCTTGATGAATTGAAATTGTTGGTGCATGGTACCATGTTAAGTTTGAAAGTATTCATTAAACATAAGGCCCATTTGTGTGAGCACAGAATTGATTCTACAGAAATTTAAAATTATTTTCTAGTTATTGTAAATCAGCTCTGCAAACGCAAAAACAACAGCCTGACAATAAAAAGCCAACATCGCTCACTTTTTCGACTTTTTTTACTTTTTAATATTTTAAAAAATAAACTATTAAAATAATTTTTTTTAAACTAATTTCTTATTTAGAGTGTTTTTTAAAATTCACGTTATAAGTGTTAAATTTATTTTTAAATTTTTTTATAAAATTTTTGTATATTAAAAAGACGAGTCTTATTTTTAAAATTTTAAAAAAAATCATATATTAAATAAACAAAATTTTAAAAATTGTAACACGAGCTAGAATGACAGGTAATTTCGAATTAATGGAAAAGTAAAATTTAATTTATCGTTTTGTTCATTCCCTGCACCCTTCGTAGAGCTCCTCTGTAAATATGTTTCTATCAAGTTTTATATCATCTACGTGAGAATATGCAATAAGAGTTTTCGGGTATGGAGGAGAAGCTTTTCCGAGGCACTTAGGCTCGGTGCTGCAAAAGAACACACAAAATGGAAAAAAAAACTACGAAAGTTCTAAATGAATTTGAGTGGAACTCGATCCAAGTGCCAGTGATTTTGCATGCTCTAAGTGCGTCTAGGTGAAGTATTGTTTGTATTTAAAAAAAATTAAATTAAAAAATATACTTATTTTTTCATTAAAAAAAATTAAAAATATAAACAAACGTTGCTCTTAACTTACTGATTTCTTTTCTACACTTTCGTTTCTTTTATTTTATTTTTAAATTAAGTTTTGCATGGTGTAAAATTGTCAATAATTTTAATGTGTGTCTCTTTTAAAAAATAAATAATAAATAAATTTTACCTTTTTAATTTACAAATTCTTTTTAAAAAAATTTAAAACAAATAAGTTGCGCACCTATATGCTTACATGACTAAATATAATAATTTATTTTTAAAAAATATTAAAAAAATAAATAAACCCACTTTTTCCACATGAAAGGGCCTCATCAAACGATAAATTTACATGTCCTCACCAGATCAGAGGTCACGCTGATTCCAAGAAGAGCCATGTTAGAGAAAATCGAAAATATGGGGATTTGTACCATTCACAAACACCATGGAACTTTAATAACGATTTTGGTTTTAATAAATGCTTCCCAAAATGTCTAATAAATGAAGTGAGCTTAAGAGTAAAGCAATAATGACTTTATTACCTAACAATCTCGTACTGTGTAACGTCTTAATCAAAATAATGAAAATGGTTGAAGAGGACACCTTAAATGACTAAAATATTTTAAAAGGTAAGAAATTAATACTTTTGTATTCTTTTAAGATGATAAAAACATTTTTTAATTTAATACTTACTCTATAAAATAAAAGGAATATTACTAGAAATATATTTAGGAGGATATGCAAAATAAATAATATAAACTTAGAATTAAATTTCAAACTTCATTAGCAAAGGTCTGCATGTAGCTACCTTAACCTTCACTCTTCCTCTATTCGTCATCATCTCCATGTCTCATATTTACGAGTTTCTAAAACGATAGTAACAATTGGTTAATGGAAATTTCGTTTTATACAGTGCTCAAGCAATTGTCCTATCCACACGAGGAAACATCGCATGATGGACAAGCCAAGCTTACTCTTGCCACTTTTCCTTCATAATAATATTTTTTTTGCCAACAAATAAAAGCAAGTAAAACCAAAAATTAATGAATAATATAATTTGACTTGTAAGCATTCTTTATAGCAAAATGAGCAGGTATCCGGGCTTATATTTTGATATTGGAAAGAAGGCCAGAGGTTTTATAAAATTCTTCTGACAATTATTTTCCTTTTTTCATTTTCATTTTCATTTTAATATTTCATTAGCATAGATCCTGATATGATGATATTATATTTACCTTCCCTGAAAAATTCTTTGTTTACATTTTTGTTTATGTTAGATGTTCTTCACAAGGATTATGCTCAACAACCACCAATTCACTTTAACTACAGATTCTTGGACTGGAATTTAGATCTCTCTTGTCAAGGTAATGTTTAATATCACCTTATACCCTTTTCTTTTTGTTTAAAACATATCAATGGGTAATTTTAGTCTACTTGGGTCCATTAGATCAAGTAAAGATGTACACCATAAGCTAACTACACATTGTTACTTTAGAATATAATTTTATCTAATTATTTCATGTAAATTGGCTTAGTGTAAGCGTATATAAGAATTTCTTCTTGGCAGAACCTCCTATAAAATAGCTATGGAGTTGTATTTCTGATTACACTGACTTTGCTGCTGAATCTGTTGTAGTAGAAGAAATTGTGCCAGGAGTAAGGGGCCTTTTCAATTGTACCATACCTGACTCTGGGAAGGTACTAGTAGATTTTTTTTGTCTAGGCACCATAATTAATTTCATCTTTAATAATTCCGAGTCTTGTTTTTCAGTGCATCTAATTATAGTTCGGAATCAAAATGAATTCAATTACAGGTTGAACTTCAACACCTGAACAAATACAGTGGGTTTAGTGGAAGCGTTGGATTATTAGGAGACCCAGAAAAAGGATATAACCCTGTTGCAAACATTTCTGGTCTTATAGGAACAAGAATTCTGACCTTGGGAGCTAATCTTGCCTATGACCTATCAACAAGAGCAATTAGCAATCTGAATGCTGGTTTGAGCTTGAGCAGTCCCTACCTTGTTGCTTCCTTGACCTTGTGAGCTATCCTACAATAAACACTTAATTTATGAGTAACATCAAATTTATTATCTCTACACTTTTGCTTAAGAATCTATTTATACTTTGACGTTAAAACCTCAGCTGTGTAGTCATCTTAAACTTCAATGTTCCATTTTGCTAACTCAGCCTTTCGCTTGTAGATCAATCCCAATTTCTATCCATTTTAATCTGTTTAGTTCATACTTTAGGTGCATTGGTGCATATATGCTACTTGGTTTAGATGAACAACACAAATTTCGTTTTCTTTCATAAAAATCAATTCTAAAACAACTGTAGTTAAATCCGTCCAACAAATTCAATAGGAGGAAATACAAAAGTTAATGGTACAACGATTTTAAGGCGCTTCTGCAGTGTGTACGTCTACATCTAATTGAAACACTGTTATTGCATTGTGCTTGGTATTCTTCTGTTTCTTTCTTCAAACCAATGATTGTGTGATGCTAAATTTGAGTGCATGTCAATTATGCAGGCATGACAATTTTGAAAATGTGAAAGCTTCTTGTTATTTTGAAGTGAACCCCCTAACCAAGACTGCAATTGCAGCAGAGGTGAAGTATGACCTTCTAGACAATGAGACTACGGGCGTCACCGTTGGTGCTCAGCATGCACTGTTTCCTTGTACTTTGCTAAAGGCTCGACTTAACTCCTATGGTAAGGTGAGTGCTCTTATTCGACAAAAGCTGGGGAACAAATTTGCGATAACTGTGGCAGGAGAGTTGAATTTGAATGAGAAAGATAAAGAAAAGTTTCCTAAGGTTGGAGTCTCCATGGCTCTAAGATAATTTCAGTGAGAAAAGCTCTTCATATAGAACAGGCAATGATATGTCAAGGAGACTACCAAAAGATGTGCAAGGAAATTTTGTTATGCCTCATCCATTTTCTTCAACATTTGAGAAGAGTATGATATCCTTGTTTGGTGCTTTTGTTGACTAATGTTTCTTTGAGGATTGAAAAGAACCCGTGCACAAATTTTATGAATAAATTAAACATCTATTTATTAAAGATTCGTACTCCAATTGACTTTTGTTTCTTCATGGAGGTAAATCTATAAAACAAAATTGATTATGCATGGATTAATTTCTTTCTTTGCATATCAAAATAAGATGGAGTTAAGTGGTAGCTGCATATTACTTCATGCTTTATTTGATTTTAGAGAACTCATTATTCATAAAGAGGTATGCAGGATGATGTTTGTAAACCACAATCATTTAAATGCAAAGCATTCAAATCTTATTCACAGTGTTAGTGGCAAATTGACTGTCTAAATAAACAAGACCATTGAACACACTATACACATAAAGACAACATGGATATTCAAATACGTACATACATCATACTCTCATGAAGACTACATACAAGTGGTAGGTGGAGGAGAAACTAGTACTACTCATGAGAACCCGGAAAAAGTCCATCACGAATTTGGGTAGCTATATCACGAACAGAACCAGGTCCATGAGGAATGAAAACAGCAGAAGACTTGGAGGCAGCACCAATTTCTTTCATAGTGTCAAAATACTGAGTGACAAGGACCATGTCAAGAACATCTTTAGCAGTTGTACCAGGTACATTAACTGAGAATCCCAGCACACTATCCCTCAAACCATCCACAATTGCTTGACGTTGGCGAGCAATACCCAACCCTGAGAGATACTTAGACTCGGCCTCACCCTCGGCTCTCTTTATTTGCAAGATCTTCTCTGCCTCTGCCTTCTCATTAGCTGCCACCCTCAATCTTGCAGCTGATCTCACAAACAAAACATTAGCAAAAAATGAAATAGGCCACAATCCATGAGCATTAGGTAGTAGTAATAAAAAGAATCGGTAACAAGCAAAGACTAGAAAATGAGGTACATAAACAAATAATCATTTGAGTTCAAATTCCAAAACAAGTTAATAATTCATATTGAATGTTTTTGGCAAAGCTCTTAGCTAATTTCTAGCTTACTTGACTAACTAGAAAGCTTATTTGAACTAATTAGACTTTTTGACAAAGGAGTTTGTTTTAGTAGCTTGAAGCATTTTTCGAAATGTCACTTTATGTAGTGTTTGAACTTAATAAGCTCCGAACATATTGTTTTTCCCATTTTTATCTTCGTTATTTTATCATAATTTCTTCTTTTATATAATTTTAGTTTAACAGCTAATTTTACCATACACTTTTAATTCAATCAATTAACTTATCAGCTTTTAGCTAGTTTTTATGCTAATTAGTTGGACAATTAATTTTACCACACTCTTAATTCAATCAACTAACTTATCAGTTTTTAGCTAGTTTACATGCTAATTTTGTCAAATACACTCAATATCTGGTTTAGTTAATTCACAAGTCAGACAAGCCTGAGTTGAACATTGAGTACTTCAGCTCAGCTGAAGTTATATAATCGTTTAACATACCAGCGTTGATTTCATTCATAGCCCGCTTCACATTCTCATCTGGCTCAATGTCAACAATCAGAGTTTGAACAATTTCATACCCATAAGCTGACATAGCCTGTTAAGACATTAAAGCAGCAAAATCAAAGTAAACATGAGCCGATATAGTTCACAGTAAATGTCAATATATGGGATAAACCTTCTCAAGCTCATCCTCCACGGCTTTAGCGATGTCATTTTTCTGCTCAAAAGCGTCATCCAAGTTGAGTTTTGGAACACTTGCTCTAATTACTGCAATCAGAACAACAGTTTTACCTCAGCTTATAATTTATATGCTTAAAGCACTAGTTGTATTGGTATCTCCGTATTGTGTAAACCAACGTTATGGTTTATACCATCAAAAACATAGGCTTGGATTTGGCTCTTTGTATTACTTAGTTTGTAAAAAGCATCATTAGCCTTCTCTGACAGGGCACGATATTGAACTGAAGCAACAACGTTGACAAAGACATTATCCTGAAACAAAATAAACATAAAATGTTATCAATCGTTATCCAATGATAAAATATAACTTGCATGGACTAAGGAAAACTATATATAATAGATAGAAAAAGATAATTAAAAAGGGATGCAACCTGTACTAGTGAAAGGCCGTCTAGTTAATCAACAAAACATGAAGAAAACAAAAGAATGGAACATCAAAAGAGGACCTTCTCATGTAACATCGTAGGTCGTGCAAGTTTTATATTTATCTTTCTCTTTATTAATACTTGAAAAATATTAACCTCAATAGACAACTAAAAATAATAATAATTTTTTTTATAAAAAGAGTATATTTATTCATATCATCAATATAAAAGTATAATAAAATATTATCTTTTCCAATAAAAATTTACTATATTTAAATACTTAAAATCAACTATAATAATTAACATTAATAAAACTAATACTCTCCCTTTTTATAAGAAACAAAATAAAATATTTCTTTTTAATTATAAAAAATATAAAAATTTGAGATATATTAATCGTTCAATTTTTTTTAAACTCTTTTACATTTACTAGATAGTAATTATACTAACTATGTTATTTAATATTATAAGTATTTTTAGTATTTATTCTTTTGTTTCTTATAAAAAAGTTATTTATAATTTCTCTTTTTTAATGTTCATAGAAAAAGATATATTAAAAAAAAAAAAACTTACAAAAGATCGTATCACATAAAATTTCAACATGAGAGGAAACATTCCCCAAAAACTAATGCAACATGACAAAGCTTTCCAAAAAGATTTTTAAAATGTCTAAGCCAAAAATAAAAGAATTCAAACAGTAGTTAATAGCCATTCAATAACCTCGTGATTTGAATAAACTAGAAATGTGAGAAAAGAAGTAACCTTTGTTTTAGTCTCACAACGAACATCCAGTTGCTGTATACGAAGAGAGAGATGACCAGCAAGTTGATTTCCAAGGATCCATGGCATGCAATGGCATCCTGGCTGAAGCACTTCTTCAAACCGTCCAAATCTTTCTTTGATAGCCACTGTGGATTGGTCAACTTGCACACAACAGAAAAGATTCCCCATTTGCTTTCAACTGGAATTCATCATTCCATTAACTCAGAGATATAGGATTCAAATGCAAGTATGAGGATGAAAACCATAGAAATTTGAATGTCAACTAAACGCTAATATACAAGCTACTTTAACAAACCTTTATTCACAAATACCTGCCAACAGCAAATTTGACAACAAATTCAAATGGTAGAAACAAATAATTAAACCCGTTGGGAAAGAAATCAGTATTCATGGCTCATTCCAAAACAAGTCCTAGTCCTCTATTCTTTTTTGTATAACTGGCTGTTTGGAAACACGTTGAAAAACTTGTAAACATGGATCAAAGTTAAAAGTTACAATTACTAGTGTTGATCTACGCGTAGATGGCATGTATATATAAACGCGAACTCGAACATGTTATAGTTAGTGTATAGAGTCTGAAATTTGAATCTTTCGTTTCTTTCCACTCTGCGAAAATACATATTGACTACTTTTTCGCTAATTAACGTATGTCCCAAAATGGTAACTGGGAAAGAAAATTAGATAAGTGCTCATTCTAAAGAAACAAAAACATTATTTTGAGACAAGACAGAGTTAGCTGTTATCCGGGCAAGAGAAAAAATTGGTAAATCAAAATACACTGTCCTAAGTCTTCCCAAAAAAAAAAAAAACAAACACCAAAAATATTACTGAACAATCTATAATTCAAGACCAGCTTTTATGAAACAAATTAATAAGACAATATTATCCTTACACTAGAAAATTATGTTGATCCTTAAAAGGTAGTTCTAGTGCAGTACAACATGTGAGAAGAACCATGAAAGAAATAACCAATTAAAAGATTAAACAAGAACATAATTACTCAACAATGTTGATTTAAATGTGCTTCAATGCATACATGAGAAAGGAGACTTACAAGTCAGGAAAGAATGTTAGAACAAATGGAGGTAGCAAACAAACGAGAGATAAGATTAGAAATTCAGAATGACACCTCAAAATAGAGTTAGTCTTCGAAGGCAGACCCCAGCGAAGCTGACTATGAAGGCCTCTTCGGAGTTTACTTACTTAAAATATAAGCCAACCTACGGTTCAAAGTCGACGGTTTCATGCTCCACGTCAATGTCAATGTCAATATCAATATCAATATAATTACGGCCTATTTGCATTAATAGAATATCCTGTTCGGATACACAAATGTTTTACATTTTTGTACAAACACGTTTTTTTCTTTCACGCACATCAAGTGTACATTTGAAGGAACAAAAAAGGATAATAAATGTGATGAGGATATAATGAAAAAAAATTACTATAATGTAAAAAGAAAAGAGATAAAAAAAAACTTGTAAATAAATTATGATTTATTTATGCGTATATGTATAATTATCTGTCGGATCTAGCAATGTGCATAGAATGATTCAAACTAGAAAATTGTATAACATTGTTGTAGTTGAATCCAATGACAGCGATACGTTATTATCCCGTGGCATCCACTTAAACATACGGCTTATAATTTACAATTCTTTTTTATATATCCATTATATGTTGTAAATTATAAGCACGTCATTTTTCATGTACCAGACAACTGAGATAGAGTTATTTTCGGTACAGATTCTATCAGGTATTGGGTGATAGTGATATTTAGTCGTGAATAAACTCTAACGTTTAGTGACGCTTAAGATAGAGGAAGTTGTTCAAGTTTAGGGCAGACTTAGAGTTCTGAGAATCCCTTCCTATTCCTTCCTTGTAAATGGGAGTTTTAAGTATTTTTTCATTTTGCATACTTTTCAGTATGTTTGTTGAGATGGGTGTGCCCCTCGCCCCCTCCTCATACTACGCACTAATAAAGTTGTCATTTGACAGAGATTTCATAACGTAGTAATACAAATGAATTATACGGTGTTTCAGCCATCTCTGGAATTTTTACCTTTATATTCACATTTATTTTATTTTGATTCTGAAATATTTTTTATATATTTTATTTTAAATTTTTATTTTATTTTTTAATAATTAAAATAATTTAGACTTATTATTCATAAATATTTTAATTTTTCATTTTTTACTATTCTTACATTTAGACATTCAAGACTTCAAAATGCATAAATAAATCACTAAATTTAGAGTCCTTTTTTTCCTTAAGTTGACACATATATGCTAAATTTTATGTGCAAAATTACATTTACACCCTTATAATTGAATATTTGTATTTAGACTTTTAGTTGCAATTGAGACCCAAATTTATGTTATTTAATTTACTCTAATCAAAACCTATAAATAGGCTAATGAGACTTTGAATTGTGTTGTTTTGCTTTGTTAGAGTTAGACAATTTTAAATTTCAAATTTTTAGATTTGGCTCTCAACTTCTCTTTGAATCCTTGTTTTCTTTTCTCTTCTCGAATTCATATCTTCCTCTCATTCACACTCTGATTAGTGCTCTAATAGAAGGTTAAACATTTCATTTAATCCACTGAGTCAAGATGGTGTAAATTTGGTTTGAGTTTTTGTGCCAATTGTTCTAAGTTTGTTCTCGTCTTTTCTAATTTTAGATATGCGATTCATGATCATGATTTACTTTTTGGTGAATTAGAATTTAAATTAAGATTCGATTAATATTATGATTTAATAATTAAATGCAAATTATGTAAATGATAATTTGATTTAATTTATAATATAGTTCAATTAGGTTATTTGGATTAAACTCAAATTAAAATCTTAAGATACTGTGATAATTAGAATTACATACATCTATGAATATGTGGATTAATAATTCCTATTCTATTTTTTATCAAGTTAATTATGTTATTGATTTCAATTCAATTGATTCGAAATCTACATATCCATAAATTGTTCTTGCATTACCTAAATCCTAAAATTGAATATAGTTAAATATGTGTCTCTATAAATCGATCTTTGTACTTCAAAATTCTTAGAGAAAACTTGGTTGTTTTAGTTGTAACTCGGCAAATATTATCATGTTTACTCAAGATTACTTAAGATTCATGTTATATGGCCGCAGTGGGCTTGGGTTGGTGACGACATATATATGTTTGATTCCAAACATAACAACTATATGTTTGAAAATAACAGTTAAATGTTTGACCCTACATAAATTTTCACAATTAAAGGTACTATCACAAATCTATGAGTAATTATTGGAAATCATCGATGCAATACAACCAATAATAGATGGAGAAAAAGAAAGATATTCAACAAGAGTTACATTGTTGAATTGTGAAGTTAGGATGAAATTTTGGATTGAGTGCGTTATTTTATTTTATTTTATTTTTTTAGATTTGTTATAACAAGAGTTAGGGTGAAATTTAAAGTATACTTTGTTATCTACGATAAAATGTGAAATATTTAAAAAAATATTTTTATATATATTTAACATATGAAGAAGATTATGCAAAAATAAGGGTAAAATTAGAAACTGTGAACTATTTACTATGTTAAAAATGAATAAACTTATGTCTTTTTTTTTATCATTTCTTTAATAGTAATTATTGGCAAGATTTCAATATCTATTAATGGACTGCCAATATGTTGTAGATATTTATATATTGCTCAACTTCTTTGTGTTGTTCCTTTTATTAGAAATACTAAGCCAAACTTCTCTCTATCTCCTTCATTGGGGATACTACCTCTCATATGCTCTTTATATTATCTACTACATTGAAAATGAATAAATTATGTCTTTTTATCCTTTCTTCAATAATAATTAGCAAAACCCTATCTCCATTAAGGTGTTCTTTATATGTTGTAGGTCCTTTTTATTTATATGTTGTTATATGTCTCCATTTCCTTTTTATTAAGCATACTACCAATCATACCATTGTTTTTGTTTTTTTTCAACCTGCACATTGCTCATCCAACCTCTATATTGTGAAGAAGAGTTAATCACTTAGATAAATCATTCAGGGGGAAGGGGATTAAAATATCTAGGAAATCTTCGTCAACAAGTCATAAATAAGCAAACTTAGATGTCATACTCATTTCAAAACTTTAAAGCTTTATTTGGAAGTATAGAAGGAAAAGGAAGAAAAGGGTTTAAAAGGTAAGAAAGAATGGTTAATAAAAAATAAAATTTAATTAGAGAAACTTATAACCGAACTCTTAACAAAGTTTAAAGTTACTTAGTTATGGATATTTTTACTTATATGTTGAACTTCTTCATTTTCTATAATGTGGGACTTTGTCAGTCATATTTTTTTTATCTCAACATGTATCACTTATTTTCTTTATCGAGAGTAAGTAACAATTGATTCGCACAATCTATTTAACATTCTTGAGTTGTAACCTCAATTCAATTTTTTTCCTCTAACTTGGATGCAAAAATCACTTCAAATATCTTTCAAATTTGAAAGGCGTGCTTGCATCTTATCATTCTCGTATGCATATTTGCTGACATGGAAGTCAATGATCCCAAACGGTGAAATATTCATTTATCCCTTTGACACTTACATCTTCGTCATTGCTATATTTTTTGGGCATTTCACCAACTTATGTTTTAGACATGCATTTTTTTTTTTTTTAAGTTTAAACCCTTTGATGATTCCTAACGCTTGTTGCTTGCGGGTAAGAAAGTTCTCTTCACAAACTTAATTGATGCTATTGTTAAAAGTGATTGGTTGTGAAGCCTTTGCAACATTTATAGTAGTCATTTTTTTAAGTACCAACTCTGATATTATAAAGAAATTCAAATTATTTAGAACTGTGAAAGAAGAAAATTTTTGATACATTGAAAAATAAAGAATCATTATATTAAGTAAAAAGAAAAAGAAATAAAATAAAAGAAATAAAAAACACAAACTGCAAACTAGGCAAATAGACTAGAATTAGAAGTCTAAATTAAGTAGAGGATTATCTAGAGGTTAAAGAGATCTCTAAAAATAATATCAAATAAGCTAGTTTGTTAACTATTTTTTTTACATAATATAATATAAAAATTTTATTTTATTATATACTATTCTATTATATTTTAATTTATAAATTCAAACAATATAATATATTTTATTGTATCACTTTTAGTTTCAGAAAA